GACACTCTGGGGCTGGGATTGGCCCTTGGATCCCAAGCAGCTCCTGGATGGAGCTCAGGGCTGCTGATTCCTCACCTGGAAGCTTGCTCAGCCTGGGAAGCTGGGATGAGGCAGCGGAGGGGAGGGTGCAGAGCCTGGCTGGAGGGAAATCCTCCTGCCCAGGAGGAGCAGGGAGGTTTGAATGCTGCTGTTCAAGGCTCCTCTCTGATCCCTGCACAGACACAGGGCCTGGGCACAGCACTGAAAATCCTCTTCTCAGAGAACCTCATCGAGAAGATTCCTGAGAGTGGCCCTTCCTATGGGTTCCAGCTGACCAGACAAGAAATTGTGGCCTTATTTAACGCCTTTGGAAGGTGAGTTTCAGACTTTCCCCTCTACTTTTGCAGTGTAGTCTCAGTTTGAGCTCTTATTTTTATCAGTTCCCAGCAGTTTTGGTGGGGACTCCTGCTCTGGTCATAGTCTGGTACCAGGTGTTGGTATGGAGTAAAACAGTTGGAATGATTTAAAATATTCTTTATATTCTGCATTTCTGTAAGGAATTCAAGGAGGCATTTATGCTGAGGTACAAAGCATTTCATTCTTTTGAAGGGGCTGTGTGACTCTGTCCTTGGAGCACACTGTCCCAGGCAAGGGCTGCTCTCCTTAAGCCTCTCCCCAGCTCATTCCCAGATCATGATGGCATTTTTAAAAGGAATCCATCAGTCCAGCCTCTCTGGATGAGGAGTTTTTGTCAGAAAAGGAGGATAATGAGACCTTTAGGAGGGGATTTCAGGACACTCTGGTTATGCATGAGCTCTTTGTGATGTTGAGAGACCAGGAGTTTCTGGCAAAGAGGATTTTCCAAGGATGAGCTCCTTAACATCCCATTCCCCTGTGAGTCCCAGAGTTTGCTTTAAAAACAGGCAGGGGAATAATGAAGGGCCTGGTTGTAACCTCAACCTAATTTAGCTGCAATTCCAAATCTTCTCTTCCCAAAAGCTGCTTGAAGCTTTGCTGGATGCAGCCCCTTTCTCCCAGATTTTAAATAATTCACGACATGAATGTTGCTGTAACATTTCCCTTCTGCTTTCCTGGCACACAGGGTTTCAACCAGCGTGAAAGAACTGGAAAACTTCAGGAATCTCTTACAAAACATGAGGTGAATTCAGTGGAGAAAGAGGGATTTGAGGACAAACACCATCATTGCACCACTCTGACTAAACCACTTGCTGGGCCTCCTGTCCCATCATTGTCTGTAACCTGCTGAGAAGATATTTTATACAAAGGGGAAAAAAAAGCTATTTTTTGGTATAAAAATGGGGACTATATGTAAATTTTATTTTATATATTGGAGGATCATTTGGAAATAACTCTTTTTGAAATATTGCTGTGCTGTTTGAAGATGGATCAGAGCCGTGGCCTTGCCTTTGGAAGCTGGGGCAAGAACTGTGCCATTGAATAAATCTGGGGGAAATTCCTGGTCTGCTCCATCATTCCAAGCACTCACAGTGTGCCCACACCAACTTCTGCTGTGTGCAAAAACAACTTCAAGGGATTGCAGGAGCTGCTGCTGTCCCAAGGTGAAATCCTTTTCTTCAGAATTCCTCTTCTTGTGGGAACAGGGAGTTCCTGGTGCTGCTTCCAGCCCAGCAAGGACAAGGGGGCAGGTTTGGGCAGTGCTGCTGGAAAAAAAACAGCTTCTCCAACCCTGGATGTGTGTGGAACCCCTCTGCTTTGCAGCCCAGAATGTGGGGAGAGCACAAGAGGCAGCCTGAGCTTTGTGGATGAAGCTGGGGAAGGAATGAAAGAAGCTCCAGGGCTGGAGGTGCTGCTGGGTTTGGGGGGTCCTGGCAAGGACAAAGCAGAGCGCCTGGCCAGAAATGTCCCCTGGGCCAGTGGTGTGAGCACATTGCACTCACAGGATGGACACAGAACCAGGCAGGGCCTCCACAAGGGGCACAGAGAGACCAGCACAGACCCCCAGCAACCCACCCTGGGCATCCCTGGAGCTGTGCCCATTCCCTGGGCACTGCCAGCACCCTCTGGGAGCAGAACTTTTCCTGATTTCCACCCAAACCTGCCCTGGCACAGCTCCAGCTGCTCCCTCAGGGCTGCAACCAGAGAAACACCAGGGGATAAAATAAACCCCCAGTGCCACCCCCAGTGCCACCCCCAGAGCAACTGGATGTGCCAGGTCCTGGCAGGGCCACACCTGGAGCTGGCTGGGTCACCCTGGGAGCCATCCCAGCACAAAAAATCTTTTTTTATTTTAATTTATTTCAACAGAGTAGTGCTTGGTTACAGTTTAGTGAAGAACAAATAGGTACATTCATTGGCCACAGCTCCTGGGCCAGCAGCTGCTGCCCACCTGCAAAGCCAGAACACTGTTAAACCATACCAAAAAAAAAAAAAAAACCCCAAAAAACAACCCCACAAAAAAAAAAAAAAAAAAAAAAAAAAACCAACCAAAAGAAAGTTAAAAAAAAGGCAACTATGCATTAAAAAAGTCCTTGTAACTTCTGAGCTATAAATGAGTTCAGTAAAACACAGGAGCAGCCCCAGCAGGAGCTGTCAGTCC